GAGATATTAATTGTAGAAAATTTGTAAATGATCATGCAGGATATGGTAAGTAAGTTATAATAGCGATGACTGTCGTCGTGTATTTATACTTTAGGTCAAATTGAATAAAAAAGTCCTCTACCATTTTGCAAATAATCACATAGATTTTTAATTATTAATTAAAGAAGATGCATTATCACGCAAAATCGTGCAATAATCTTCTTTAATTAATAATTAAAAATCTGTGATTATTTGAAAAATGGTAGAGGACTTTTTTGTTCAATTTGACCTAAAGTATAAGTACACGACGGCAGTCGTCGCTATAACTCATTTACCATATCCTGCATGATCATTTACAAATTTTCTACAATTAATATCTCGATAATTATTGCGAATATCGCAAAATGGTATAGGACTTTTATCTTCACCTCAACCTGTTCTACGTCCCCACAAAATGCCCGGAGGAGAGTATGAGACACCCTGTATATATAAATTAAATGGAAATATTATTGGGAAGGAAATTTATTTTAGTATTTGAATTGCTAATATGAACTCCAGTTTAAGATAAAACAACCTTATCATTCATTGCAAATTTACTGTAAATGTATATATTTCTAACAATATACTTCTTATTAAAAAATATAGCATACATTTTATTTAAAACTTACATGTGAATAAGCAGAACCAATGTCATTTGCATCTAAAGAGGCACTATTTATATTTTTATTTGATATATTTTCGAACATTATTGGGACTGTGTGGCTTTTCCCACATCTCTGGTGAGAAATGTATCTATTGCATATCAATATAGTTTGTTAATGATATAAATGAAAAACTAAGAATATAAAGAGTGTCATTAATAAAGCTTACCTCGCATATAAAATATATTTTAGAGAAGTCGAAATCATCCCTACCAATATTAGTAATCCATTGCTTTTTTGCTTCAAATTTTTTGGGAGATAATGCATTGAATAACCTGTTTTCCATGAATTGGAACACTTCTGTACGCAGTAAGACGGCATCCTGTAATTAGTTTCATTTAAGTTTATTTAAGTTTTAATTAAGTTTATTTCAATAATACTTTTATAACAATTTAGTTATGAATGTTGTTAATATTATTTTGAGGTTAGAGAACGAATAGTTAAAATATATTTTACATTCTTAAAGAATTATATAATGTTTTATCTTTTATGTTTATTACAATAATAAAGTGAAATATCAATGCAAAATATCTTACTTATTCCTTTCATATCTTTTTTAGCCAAAAATATTACGAAACGACGAGGAAACTTATTTTTGCTGCTTTTCTTGACACACACAGGCCATTTTGAAGGAATCCGGCCCGAATGGCCAGACAGGTCTCAGGTTCGAGTCCCAGCATAGTAAGCAAATTTTCGAAGCACAATTTAAATTGAATTATGTAGCGTGTAAAACAATAAAGTGGAAAATTTAAGAAAAATTTAAGAAAAGAAAAAAATATTTATATTTTTATAAATATTTTTATATTAAAATTTTTATATATAAAT